CGGGCTGAGGCTGATGACGTGTCACGAGCACACGAGAACGCTCAAGAAGGCATATTGAGAAACGCCCTCTGTTTAGCAACAGCTAGCGGTGACTTCTCCTTCTGCATAGGAATGCTACAGGCTGCTTTCCTGCGCATGCTGCCACTCTCTGGTGAATTCCAGTACTGCACATTTTACTCAGATCAGCTCAGAAGCGAGATCTGGGGCTCTTAGGGAAATATCCGGGGCTGTAGCCCAAGTAGCCGCCCCCTAGATCCGCCACTGTTACCATGTCTGATTTATAGGTGATTAAAAAAATAAAAAATAAAAAAATATTTAGCATCGACGATATTTTCTAACACTGAAGAACGCCATTTGAAACTCTGGATGAACCTCAGACTTTATAGATCCACATCTTGACAATAAGTCGAAGTCAAATTTGTACTGAATAAGCTGAAGCGTGTTTGTTCCACAAAGGTTTTAGTGAGCAGTGTTCTAGGCGGAAATGTGATTTTTGGCACAGAGCCACAAGTGGCCAAATTAAGGGGTGTGGCTGAAAATGAATCCGTGTAGTTGCATTACTCCGGCAGAGTCAGACATGTCAGGTGGAATTTTAAATCTAATAATTTTGAGACATGTTTTAGACATTTTAAAGCCCCAATTTGGCCAGCAAAAAACATCTGTTTGTCTCCTTCTGCAGCTTGGTGGCGCCATGGCGCCGGCCATTAAGGAGCTGTCCAGGTGGCTCGATGCAAACTCTGAGTACTTTGTGGCGCCGGACTGGGCCGAGGTGGTCAAACACTCTGTGAGTCTCCATCTTTGCTTCCAGAGCATTCAGTTACTGTGGCTCCTCTCATGTTGTTCCTCTGCTGCTCCAGGGTTTCCTTCCTGAGGGGAAGTTCTCTCGCATTCTGACGGAACCGGTCAACAGGGACCCAGGCTCGCGGCGCCGCGGGCGCCGGCCACGCAGCGAGATGCCGAAGCCCCTCCTCTCTGTGTCGGATTCCTCGTCCGCCACCCTCAGCGCCCCCCTCTACATGAACGGCGGGCTGATCGGAAGCATGGACTCCATTGTGACCCTGCAGAACCTTCGCGGCGCCATACCTGGCATCCCCATCTCCGGGATCATGGCGGCGGGGTTCCCACACGGGTTCCCTGCTGCCGTGTCGGCAGGAAGCGGCGGATCGTCGGCCGAAGACGTGAAGAACGGTCTGAGCATGTTACCCATGATGCTGCACGGCATCCCACATGGCGCCGCCATCCCTCAGCACGCTCTGTTCAGCGTTGGCACCATGATGGCGCACGCTCCACCACACTCCGCTTCCTCCCCCTCCTCCTCCACTTCCGTAACAACGACGACCGTGGCCTCCGACGCGGCCAGCCCGTCCTCCAGCACCGCCGCAGACGGAGAGAGCAGCTCCTCCTCGGCGCTGGGCGGCGACAAGGAAAAAGCGGTGACGGAGGGTGCCAAGCGGCCGGCGGGGGGCGACGCTGTTACCTCCACCAGCAGGGTCCACCTGGGCGGCGGCGCCGGCAGTCATCACACCTTTAACCCCTTCCTGATCCCAGGCATGTCCCACGGGCTGCTGTACCCGCACATGTTCCTTCCTCACGGCGGCATCATGACGCTGCCCGCTGTGCCGCCGGGCGCCGCAGCCGACAGCTCTCCAGGCAGTCCCAGGAGGAGGAGGAACCGGGTTCGGGAGGAAGGGGAGAGGGAGAAAGGGAAGGAGGGGGAGGGAGACGCAGAGGAGAGAGAAAGTACAGTTGGTGAAAGCGGCGGGGCAAGGGCCGCCGACGCCTTCCTCCCCTCTACCTCAGCCTCCGAGCCGAGCGCAGCTACAAGCGAGGAGAACCAGGAGGCAGGTTCTTCGGAACCCCCCGAACCAAACTCTTATAACCACAGTGAAAAAGATACGGCGGGGGAGAAGGAGGACGGATCAGACGAGATGAACCCGGAGCAAGAGACGGCGTAGGAGAGGGGAGGCCCCCCCTCCCTCCTCCTCCTCCGCTGAGCAGCGTGTAAAGTCTGTGCCGAGTCTGTCAGTCAGCGTCCATGTAAAGACTCTCATCACCCCACCCCCACCCCCCATTCTGCATCCAGTCTGAGAACAGGAGGAGGAACGGAGTTCTGAGGGAGACGGAGCCTCTCCTGACCTCCCTCCGTCGCCTCCTCCGGACTCTGTAATACTAAAGCCGCCATCTCTCCCATATTCGGCCGGCGCTGAAACCCAAAACAGGAGACATGGGCGGCGAGGTTCCCACTACGTTTTATAGGGGACCGGTGGCCTGGCAGCCAAAGCCCGTTTCCAGGTTCTAATCGGATCGGTTCTGACTGCGTCTCCCTGATGCAGGCTTGACGTGCATGAAAGGCAGATCAGAGCCCAACCCTCTCCTGCCGCTTCACGTTTCACCAAAAGCAAAGAACAATCAAGGAGATTTGTTCTGGATCCGGCTTGAAGCGGTCCAGTCCAATCAGGAGCTGAGTCCAGCCACCAGGGGGCAGCAGAAGGCAGTGGTTGGATGTTTTCTGCTCTGCAAACAGCAGCTACATGATGCTGCTTTTCAGTGTTTCTCCTGAACTCGTTGGGAAAAGTGCAAAACGACTGGAATTCTGACCCGGAGCTCCGGTTCTGTTCTGATTTTATGGAAGGAAGGAAGAAAACTGACTCTTGTAATATTTCATCTGTAAATCGTTGGCTGTACATTGCTGTCTTTTTTTAAAGTGCTCCATGTATCTCTGTCCAGCGGTTGCGCCGAAGGCGTGGACCCAGATGGACTGTACTGTACATTAAAAAGGATGAGAGTCTCTGGTTTTCCCTGAGGGGTAGAAAGGCCTCCGATCCGTATGAATCACAGTGGCGTTCTGTAGTTCTCACCCATTTTTTGCACAGCGTCTGTGTGGACCTGTCGGTTCGGTCCGTTAGGGTGTGTGGGCTATGGGGGGAGGTCCGGGATGTGTGCATGCATGCGCACGCGTTCTACTGGTTCATCCCGACCGCTCACATCTCATTGATGAAAAGAAAACTCCATTATTGTTGCCTTGTCACAACTTTTTGTGGCTCCATATAATTTATTCTAGATTTTTTTTTTTTTCTGTATTTTTTGCCAAACTTTCACCAAATAAGACGTCATTTTTTTCCCCCTTTCATCCTTTTCCTCAGATTTAAAGGCCTTATGTTTGGTTGGTGTCTTTCGTATCTATAGTCTGTTACATTTCCATGGTCCGGTGGTGTCGTTGCGTTCGTTCGGTCCGTCTCCACGGCCCGGGGAGGGGAGGTTCTGCTACGTCTAATCAATCGGTCGTCCCTTAAAGCACAAACGTTTGCGTATCAGTGCCTCTGACGTTGGGCTAAGCATGTTCACTTGCACATTTCGCCCCCTGTTGCCACGGTAACGCGGCCACCTCATGAGGTCGTCGCTACTGGTTATGTTAATTAACATGAGGGTCTGCGCCCAACAATCGCTGGTTTTCCTTCAGTTCAGATACTGGGTTTGAAGGTGTGGTGGTGTGAAGTAGTTCTGAGCCGTCAGTATCTTACCAGCAGCAGAGACCTTTGCTCCCATGAAGGATCATCCTCGAAAACTAAAAACTGATCTAGCTGATCGTTAAGAACTAAAATAAACGTGCTTCGTCATTTTTTTTAACTGTCTTTCTTTCTGTCATTTTTTTGTCTCTTCTTCCTCTCTATCTCTTGTCTGTCCGTCCGTCCATCTCTCTTGTTTCATTGTTCTTCCTCGATTCAAACTTCCTTATATGGTTGTAGTCATATGTCCCTGTAGGTTGCCCACCAGGCTGTTGAAGTAGGCGTATATTTCTGCAGTTGCGTTAGCATTTAGCCCTGCTAGCAAGTCTAGGCCAGTCAGTCTGTCTGTGGGAGTGGGTTTCAAACTCACAACCTCAAGATTCCAACCTCTATTCACTTGTCATCTACGCTTCTGATTTGGTTCTGTTTATCTACTTGGGGTTTGGGGAAAAAATCGATTTGGCGATATGTCGTGATTTTTTTTTTTAGCTCCTAATATTGATTTAAAAAAACAAAACAAAAAAAAAACCAATTTACTCAAAACAATGAGGGAAAATGGGCTTACTCTGCACCGCCACTCTGGCAGATAGAGCTGTGCTTTTGCTGTGCGACGCAGCGCCATATCTGTAGTAGAGGCCGTCACAGTGGAACACGTGGACTGCCTCTAACCCCAAACAACATGGATACCAAAATAACTAAATCATCAATACCTTCTGATGAAAAAATATACAGCACCTGCTTTTTCATCTATACAATAAAATTTTGATAGCTGGGAAAAACATTGCAATATTGTGGACACCGTTTCATTCACAACACCTGTCCCATCAAACAGAATCAGAAATACTTTAATAATCCCAGAGAGACATTACTTTAATTACATTACTCCATCTGTAATAGAGTGACTATAGGACCAGTTTGATATAACACAATTTTATACCATATATATAATTAGGGGGTCCCCGCTCCGTCTCACCATCAGTTTGGGGTTCCTTTCCCTGGAAAAGTTGAAGACCCCTGATCTACAGACTTGTTAGGTCAATCAGAACCTCTAAGATCAGTTCACTGCAGGTAGGACGCTAACTGCTCAGAACTACCCCACACCAAACACTGACTGTAGGCAAACCCGTCCAGGATGGACGGAGGCATCAGCAAAGCCCAGAACCGGAACAAAGCGGAATCAGTGGGTCTCTGTTTAAAGCAAGAGAAGAACTGAACGGGTCTTTGATTAGCTCGGTGTTTGATTGCTGTCTGTCTGGTTTAAATTTCTGTGGAAAAGTCTTTAACGAAGATGAAGCTCTGCGCATCCTGCGCATCACTTCCTGTCAGCGCCGCCACGTTCTTCTGTAATGGCGTCTGTTTCTTCATCAGGGTCACCTGAAGGGGTGGAGCTGATCTGAAATGATGTATTTATTGTACAGTTCTAGTCTCTCCATGTCGTCTCACCTCTGATTGGCTGTTTTCTTTACTCTGGATCTGAACTGCAGAAGCATTTTGGTTCACATGGAAAGTAAACCATTTCTTTGTTGCCTTCGCCTCCTGAACTGGAATTGAGAAAGTTTCCAGCGGGGGTTCTTGGTTTTCACAGCACTTAGCTTCCAGTTTGGGATATTTTTAAATGTTTAGGCCCCAAGATGGCCGACAGGAAGCCAAGCCGGTGTAGGTACCAGATCTGCTCGGGGTCCTGTCCCTTCTTATGTCATCATCATATGGCAACTCCAGTCGGACAAAATGTATTGCACCTGCACCTGATCAAATCTCTTTTGAACACTGAACATATTATTACCAATATTTGCTATTATTTTATATTTCATTGGCAATCTAAAGTAGCCGAAAGTAAATAAAAAAAACAATCATTGTCTGTCTTGAATGAAAGTACTGCGTTCTAAAAATGAGCTCTGCTAATTAACAGGATGACAAAAAAAACCTTCAGCTTATCTTTATTCTTTTATTAAGATCTGAGGGCAGTGGAGGACAAAGAGGACACCTTGAAAAATGAGTTTTGTAAAGATTTTAGGCAAATAAAACTTATTCCACTTGTAGAAAACTAATGGTTGTTGTTGACAGAAAGTTAAAAGTAGTGCAAGTTAATATGGCTAACTGACCGAGCTGTCACTACACGATCCGTCCTGCGCATGCACAAACAGATATACGTCCGCTTGTCCATAAATAATGTAATTGCAGTACTGAAATTATTTATTTATATCCTTTACTGTCTAAAGAATGCTAATACACATCTTTAAAAAGATTTTAGGACTTTTGTGAAACAAGTTTGATGCTTTTTATGTTTTTCTTCATTAAACTGCTTCTCTGACATCATCATGGGACATGCTCAGAGCAGTCCTGCAAAATATTATTAAATCATGTTTATCTGCATTTTAGTTTTTTTGTCTTTACATTACGCAATATATACCATAATGTTAACACGAAAGGGAAATATAAAACGAAAAAAAGACTTTATGTTTAAATCCAAAATTGAAAAAGTAAGCTACCAGAAGTAGCGTAGCATCGCATTTCTGGCACAGATCGGGCAGAAAATGATAAAACAGGATTTTAAGGCATTTATTTTCTCAGGAAGTACATTATAAACCTTTTAGACATTATATTTTGTATGTTTTCTATTTGAAGGGAGGAAAAAATGTCATCAAGGCCTTTAACAAAATAAAATCGAGCCAATAGGGCATAGGCAGGACGGATTGTGCTTCCGGGACGGATCGGGTAGTGACACAAGCTAAAAGAGGCTAACCTGTTAGCTACTGAACACAGGTTATATCATGGTCTAACAGTTACTTTGTTCACTATAAACAGGTTTTTTCAGTTTTGTTATCGATCAGGTAAAACTTCATTGGTCGTTAGACACGCTAACGCTACAGATGCTCCCGACTCGGCACACTGATGCTGCGTGATATTATCGTTGTCTTGGCAACCATAATGTTTTACATCATGTGGCAACGTTCAGCCAATAATGTAGCGTAACGTCAGTGGCATGACTGGTACCTACAGCGGAGAGCATCCCTATCCGTCCTAGCATCTGTGCTGCTCGCTTTGTTTCATTTTTAAAACGTCCATTTTCCTGACCCCCAGTTTGAATTGCTGAACCGGGACGGGAAGTCCGACCCGTTTCTTTCTTTTGGCCGACAAAGGGATGGAATCTGGGAAATCTCACATTGAGAAAATCTAAAGAAACCAAGTCCACTTTAGCTTCACATGTCCGCCTCTCTCTGTTCGCTCTGTAAAGTTAAAATATCCTAATAAAGTTTGCCTTAAACAGTCGGTGGACAAAAGTTCTGCTTATTCGACGGCACCGATTTGGATCTGGATCTTTTATTCTTCCAACTGTAAAATTTCTCATCAGAATGTTCTTTTATTCCAAGTTTCCGGAAGGTTTTGTGCATGTTTGGTTTGTAGCAGAGTTCTGCCTGAAGGCCTCCCATCAGACAGAACCTCAGCAGACTGCAGTCAGATGGAGATTTGGGCTGAAATCTTGCAGGTTCTGGTGACACTCATCAGGAACTGACCCAGCCGCCTCACTGCTGAAAACATTGTTGAACGAAGCTCGTACATGTGGAGAACGGGTCGACCCGGCGCTGCAAACCTTTCACCAATGAAACAGATAAATCACTCGATGGGTTTGAATCTTTTTGGTTCCTCCTTCTCTTGTTTGTATCTATAGCTCTATATTCCCATGTGGACCAATCTGACTAGTCAGAACATGGTATGTGTGATCTTTTATTGTGCAATAAAAGATGACTTTCAACTTCTCTTTGTCTGTCGATCCTTCATGTGGACAGTTTTTTTTTCTGCTGCCAGGTAGTTTTTATTGTTTACATTTTTTATTTTCTGACTTCTGAATGTCGTCATGTATCGTTTATGAACACACACCCTACTAGCTGTGTTAGAACAACAAATTTACGAATGAATCGAGCTCAAATCATGGTCAAACGGAACGTTCTGCACATATGGAATACATTCCCCACAGCTTCCGTTCAAAATATGTGCCAATCATATATCAATGGTCATCTGTCAAATTTTTTCTGTCATAGCATCTTGATTCATATGGCGCAGCTAATCTACGCAACGGTTGAAATAAGAATAATATCCTTCCCCATTGAGTTCCGTCCCAGTGTTCACAGGGATGGACGTCTGTGTCTTCAGCAGGCGTAGAGCTAAACATGTACGGCTGGAAGCCTTCTACACCAAACCAAGCTTCTGCTGCCCTGGCGTCCTCTTCCACAACATCTTCGTCCCCGCTTTCCTCCTCTAAATAAAAACTGTATGACGGACGAGACTCATCCACGACCTCCGACACTAAACTCTCCTGCTTCCGACAAACCGGCCACAACCATACTTGGTTGTGAACCTTCCGCAACAACAATCCTGTCCTCTTGATAAATCGACCAATCATTCACTTTATTCACTCGCGTAGAGTCGGGCACCACTCAGGAGAATTTGGAAATGCAAGGGTTGAAACGGCTGTTTCCCTACAACTTTAAGAAAGAAAAATCCAGTTACAAGTCAAATATATATTTCAGCTACTACGTACAGAGAAGGAAAAACATGGCTGACAACCATAATTCCCATTTACACTACCCTCTGAAAACCGAATCCGTGCCGAGCTTGGGTTACACTCCTCGCTAGCATGGTTCCTCGCCTCCAAGTGGTGATCTACGGTACTACTGCTCTCTAGAGGGAAACAAGCAAATCAACATGGCGGCGCCAATAACAGTCAGGAAGTTTGCGTAGAGTCAGGTGAAGACGGCAGCCTTTGGTGAATTTACTTGACTCAGTGGGTAGCACTGCTGCCTTGCAGCAAGAATGTTTCGGGTTTGATTCCCATCGCAAGGTCTTTCTGCATGGAGTTTGCAAGCTCCAGCTTCCTCCCACAGTCCAAAAACATGACTGTTAGGATAACTGGCTTCTCTAAATTCTCCTTAGGTGTGAGTGTGCGTGAATGGTTGTTTGTTGAGTGTCTCTTTGTTTCCCCGCGATGGACTGGCGACCTGTCTACATAGGGTGAACCCTGCCCCTCGTCCGTAGACAGCTGGAGAGGCACCAGCACCCCTTGTGACCCCAGCAGGGATAAGTGCGATGGAAAATGGATAGATGGACATTGTCTTCAATTCAAGCCCAGGGGTCCAATAAAAAGAAATTCTTCACTCCTCACTGCACAGGAAAGCCTGCCACCAGAAGTGAAGAGATCAGGAAATATGATCAATATCAAATCTGAGGCAAAACAGCATAACTACTTTAAAAACCTTAATTTTGATCAAGAAGTTCTTTAAAGTTCAACAATGTAAAAAAAAAAAAATCCCTCCATAAGTCTTGTGTATCAGATCTAGCCTAGTAAACTAGCCCACCGGCAGCAGCCTAAATCATTTTTGCCTGCGATTGGTCTAGCCTCAATCAATGCCCCAGGCCCCTGCAACGGGCCAATCACAATGCAGAGATATGTTTTGAATTTCTGGATGCAAAGCGGTCGAGGTTTTGAGAGCATGACGACAAAGCTGCACGACACTGGAGAAAGCAACAAGGAAGATGGGAACAACTATTGAACGGTAATTATGTACTGCGGCAGCAGCAGCTTTCAACACTCCGCTGAAAGTTAAAAGTTCTCTTTTCTGTTGCTGTTGTTCAATAAAAGTACGTTTTAAGTAGTGTTGCACAGATACCGATACAAGTATCGGACGGGGCCCCGATACTGCCGTAAAATGGTGGTATCGGTATCGGCGAGTACCAACAAATAGGGCACCGATACCATTTTGAGAGCCATAAGTTTATTCAACTATTGTCACCCACTCCTGGTAGGCAATAAAAAGTTCTACTGGATATACTTTGTATTAGATATTTTCCTGCTTCACAAAGGTAGGCAGCAGCTTGACAAAGCC